AAGAAGAAGAAGTAAAGGCAAAGTAGTCTGGAGAGAAAGGCTGCAGAGGATCCCAAGAAGAAGAAGAAGAAGCAAAGGCAAAGTAGCCCGGAGAGAAAGGCTGCAGAGGATCCCAACAAGAAGAAGCAAAGGCAAAGTAGCCCGGAGAGAAAGGCTGCAGAGGATCCCAAAAAGAAGAAGCAAAGGCAAAGTAGCCCGGCGAGAAAGGCTGCAGAAGATCCCAAGAAGAAGAAGCAAAGGCAAAGTAGCCCAGAGAGAAAGGCTGCAGAGGATCCCAAGACGAAGAAGAAGTAAAGGCAAAGTAGCCCGGAGAGAAAGGCTGCAGAGGATCCCAAGAAGAAGAAGAAGAAGTAAAGGCAAAGTAGCCCGGAGAGAAAGGCTGTAGAGGATCCCAAGAAGAAGAAGCAAAGGCTATATAGCCCGGAGAGAAAGGTTGCAGAGGATCCCAAGAAGAAGAAGAAGCAAAGGCAAAGTGGCCCGGAGAGAAAGGCTGCAGAGTGCAGAGGATCCCAAGAAGAAGAAGAAGAAGCAAAGGCAAAAGAGCTCGCAGAGAAAGGCTGCAGAGGACCCCAAGAAGAAGAAGAAGAAGCAAAGCCAAAAAAGTCCGGAGAGAAAGGCTGCAGAGGATCCCAAGAAGAAAAAGCAAAGGCAAAGTAGCCCTGCAGAGGATCCCAAGAAGAAGAAGCAAAGGCAAAGTAGTCCGGAGAGAAAGGCTGCAGAGGACCCCAAGAAGAAGAAGAAGCAAAGGTAAAATACCCCGGAGAGAAAAGCTGCAGAGGATCCCAAGAAGAAGAAGAAGAAGAAGCAAAGGCAACGGAGAAAGGCTGCAGAGGATCCCAAAAAGAAGAACAAGAAAAGGTAAAGTAGCCCGGAGAGAAAGGCTATAAAGGACCCCAAGAAGAAGAAGCAAAGGCAAAGTAGTCCGGAGAGAAAGAATGCAGAGGATCCCAAGAAGAAGAAGCAAAGGCAAAGAAGTCCGGAGAGAAAGACTGCAGAGGATCCCAAGAAGAGGAAGCAAAGGCAAAGTAGCCCGGAGAGAAAGGCTGCAGAGGATCCCAAGAAGAAGAAGAAGAAAAGGCAAAGTAGCCCGGAAAGAAAGGCTGCAGAGGATCCCAAGAAGAACAAGCAAAGGCAAAGTAGCCCGGAGAGAAAGGCTGCAGAGGATCCAAAGAAGAATAAGAAGCAAAGGCTATATAGTCCAGAGAGAAAGGCTGCAGAGGATCCTAAGAAGAAGAAGAAGAAGCAAAGGCAAAGTAGCCCGGAGAGAAAGGCGGCAGAGGATCCCAAGAAGAAGAAGAAGAAGCAAAGGCAAAGTAGCCCGGAGAGAAAGGCTGCAGAGGATCCCAAGAAGAAGAAGCAAAGGCACAGTAGCCCGGAGAGAAAGGCTGCAGAGGATCCCAAGAAGAAGAAGAAGCAAAATAGCCCGGAGAGAAAGGCTGCAGAAGATCCCAAGAAGAAGAAGAAGCAAAGGCAAAGTAGCCCAGAGAGAAAGGCTGCAGAGGATCCCAAGACGAAGAAGAAGTAAAGGCAAAGTAGCCCGCAGAGAAAGGCTGCAGAGGAACCCAAGAAGAAGAAGAATCAAAGGCAAAGTATTGGTAGCCCGGAGAGAAAGGCTGCATTGGATCCCAAGAAGAAGAAGAAGCAAAGGCAGAGTAGCCCGGAGAGAAAGGCTGCAGAGGAACCCAGTAAGAAGAAGAAGAAGAAATAAAGGCAAAGTAGCCCGGAGAGAAAGGCTGCAGAGGATCCCAAGAAGAAGAAGCCAAGGCAAAGTAGCCCGGAGAGAAAGGCTGCAGAGGATCCTAAAAAGAAGAAGAAGAAGCAAAGGCAAAGTAGTCCGGAGAGAAAGGCTGCAGAGGATCCCAAGAAGAAGAAGCAAAGGCAAAGTAGCCCTACAGAGGATCCGAAGAAGAAGAAGAAGCAAAGGCAAAACAGCCTGGGGAATAAGGCTATAGAGGATCCCAAGAAGAAGAAGAAGCAAAGGCAACCTAGCCTGGAGAGAAAGGCTGCAGAGGATCCCAAGCAGAAGAAGAAGAAGCCAAGGCAAAGTAGTCCGGACAGAAAGGCTGCAGAGGATCCCAAGAAGAAGAAGCAAAGGCAAAGCAGCTCGGAGAGAAAGGTTGCAGAGGATTCCAAGAAGAAGAAGAAGAAGAAGACGAAGCAAAGGCAAAAGAGTCCGGAGAGAAAGGCTGCAGAGGATCCCAAGAAGAAGAAGAAGCCAAGGTAAAGTAGCCCGGAGAGAAAGGCTGCAGAGGATCCCAAGAAGAAGAAGCAAAGGCAAAGTAGCCCGGAGAGAAAGGCTGCAGAGGATCCCAAGAAGAAGAAGAAGCAAAGGCAAACTAGAAAGGTTGCAGAAGATCCCAAGAAGAAGAAGCAAAGACAAAGTAGCCCGGAAAGAACGGCTGCAGAGGATCCCAAGAAGAAGAAAAAGCAAAGGCAAAGTAGCCCGGAGAGAAAGGCTGCAGAGGATCCCAAGAAGAAGAAGCAAAGGCAAAGTAGCGAGGAGAGAAAGGCTGCAGAGGATCCCAAGAAGAAGAAGAAGCAAAGGCAAAATAGCCCGGAGAGAAAGGCTGCAGAAGATCGCAAGAAGAAGAAGTAAAGGCAAAGTAGCCCGGAGAGAAAGGCTGCAGAGGATCCCAAGAAGAAGAAGAAGCAAAGGCAAAGTAGCCCGGAGAGAAAGGCTACAGAGGATCCCAAGAAGAAGAAGCAAAGGCAAAGTAGCCCGGACAGAAAGGCTGCAGAGGATCCCAAGAAGAAGAAGAAGCAAAGGCAAAATAGCCCGGAGAGAAAGGCTGCAGAGGATCCCAAGAAGAAGAAGAAGCAAAAGCAAAATAGCCCGGAGAGAAAGGCTGCAGAGGATCCCAAGAAGAAGAAGGAACAAAGGCAAAGTAGCCCGGAGAGAAAGGCTGCAGAGGATCCCAAGAAGAAGAAGAAGAAGCAAAGGCAAAGTAGCCCGGAGAGAAAGGCTGCAGAAGATCCCAAGAAGAAGAAGCAAAGGCAAAGTAGCCCAGAGAGAAAGGCTGCAGAGGATCCCAAGACGAAGAAGAAGTAAAGGCAAAGTAGCCCGGAGAGAAAGGCTGCAGAGGATCCCAAGAAGAAGAAGCCAAGGCAAAGTAGCCCGGAGAGAAAGGCTGCAGAGGATCCTAAAAAGAAGAAGAAGAAGCAAAGGCAAAGTAGTCCGGAGAGAAAGGCTGCAGAGGATCCCAAGAAGAAGAAGAAGCAAAGGCAAAGCAGCCCGAGAGAAAGGCTGCAGAGGATCCCAAGAAGAAGAAGCAAAGGCAAAGTAGCCCTACAGAGGATCCGAAGAAGAAGAAGAAGCAAAGGCAAAACAGCCTGGGGAATAAGGCTATAGAGGATCCCAAGAAGAAGAAGAAGAAGCAAAGGCAAAGTAGCCCGGAGAGAAAGGCTGCAGAGGATCCCAAGCAGAAGAAGAAGAGGCAAAGGCAAAGTAGTCCGGAGAGAAAGGCTGCAGAGGATCCCAAGAAGAAGAAGCAAAGGCAAAGCAGCTCGGAGAGAAAGGTTGCAGAGGATTCCAAGAAGAAGAAGACGAAGCAAAGGCAAAAGAGTCCGGAGAGAAAGGCTGCAGAGGACCCCAAGAAGAAGAAGCAAAGGTAAAGTAGCGCGGAGAGAAAGGCTGCAGAGGATCCCAAGAAGAAGAAGAAGAAGCAAAGGCAAAGGAGTCCGGAGAGAAAAGCTGCAGAGGATCCCAAGAAGAAGAAGAAGCAAAGGCAAAGTAGAAAGGTTGCAGAGGATCCCAAGAAGAAGAAGCAAAGACAAAGTAGCCCGGAAAGAACGGCTGCAGAGGATTCCAAGAAGAAGAAGAAGCAAAGGCAAACTAGCCCGGAGAGAAAGGCTGCAGAGGATTCCAAGAAGAAGAAGAAGCCAAGGCAAAGTAGCCCGGAGAGAAAGGCTACAGAGGATCCCAAGAAGAAGAAGAAGCAAAGGCAAAGTAGCCCGGAGAGAAAGGCTGCAGAGAATCCCAAGAAGAAGAAGAAGCAAAGGCAAAGTAGCCCGGAGAGAAAGGCTGCAGAGGATCCCAAGGAGAAGAAGAAGCAAAGGCAAAGTAGCCCGGAGAGAAAGGCTGCAGAGGATCCCAAGAAGAAGAAGAAGAAGCAAAGGCAAAGTAGCCCGGAGAGAAAGGTTGCAGAGGATCCCAAGAAGAAGAAGCAAAGGCAAAAGAGCCCGGAGAGAAAGGCTACAGAGGATCCCAAGAAGAAGAAGAAGCAAAGGCAAAAGAGCCCGGAGAGAAAGGCTGCAGAGGATGAAGCAAAGGCAAAATAGCCCGGAGAGAAAGGCTGCAGAAGATCCCAAGAAGAAGAAGAAGCAAAGCCAAAGTAACCCGGAGAGAAAGGCTGCAGAGGATCCCAAGAAGAAGAAGAAGAAGACGAAGCAAAGGCAAAAGAGCCCGGAGAGAAAGGCTGCAGAGGATCCCAAGAAGAAGAAGAAGCAAAGGCAAAGTAGTCCGGAGAGAAAGGTTGCAGAGGATCCCAAAAAGAAGAAGAAGCAAAGGCAAAGTAGCCCGGAGAGAAAGGCTGCAGAAGATCGCAAGAAGAAGAAGAAGCAAAGGCAAAGTAGCCCGGAGAGAAAGGCTGCAGAGGATGAAGCAAAGGCAAAATAGCCCGGAGAGAAAGGCCGCAGAGGATCCCAAGAAGAAGAAGAAGACGCAAAGCCAAAGTAGTCTGGAGAGAAAGGCTGCAGAAGCTTCCAAGAAGAAGAAGAAGCAAAGGCAAAAGAGCCCGGAGAGAAAGGCTGCAGAGGATCCCAAGAAGAAGAAGCAAAGGCAAAGTAGTCCGGAGAGAAAGGCTGCAGAGGATCCCAAGAAGAAGAAGAAGCAAAGGCAAAGTAGTCCGGAGAGAAAGACTGCAGAGGATCCCAAGAAGAAGAAGAATTAAAGGCAAAATAGCCTGGAGAGAAAGGCTGCAGAGGATCCCAAGAAGAAGAAGAAGCAAAGGCAATATAGTCCGGAGAGAAAGGTTGCAGAGGATTCCAAGAAGAGAAGAAGCAAAGGCAACCTAGCCCGGAGAGAAAGGCTGCAGAGGATCCCAAGAAGAAGAAGAGACAAAGGCAAAGTAGTCCGGAGAGAAAGGCTGCAGGATCCCAAGAAGAAGAAGCAAAGGCAAAGCAGCTTGGAGAGAAAGGTTGCAGAGGATTCCAAGAAGAAGAAGAAGAAGAAAAGGCAAAAGAGTCCGGAGAGAAAGGCTGCAGAGGACCCTAAGAAGAAGAATCAAAGGTAAAGTAGCCCGGAGAGAAAGGCTGCAGAGGATCCCAAGAAGAAGAAGAAGCAAAGGCAAAGTAGCCCGGAGAGAAAGGCTGCAGAGGATCCCAAGAAGAAGAAGAAGCAAAGGCAAAGTAGAAAGGTTGCAGAGGATCCCAAGCAGAAGAAGAAGCAAAGACAAAGTAGCATGGAAAGAACGGCTGCAGAGGATTCCAAGAAGAAGAAGAAGCAAAGGCAAACTAGCCTGGAGAGAAAGGCTGCAGAGGATCCCAAGAAGAAGAAGAAGCAAAGGCAAAAAAGAAAGGTTGCAGAGGATCCCAAGAAGAAGAAGAAGAAGCAAAGGCAAAGTAGCCCGGAGAGAAAGGCTGTAGAAGATCACAAGAAGAAGAAGCAAAGGCAAAGTAGCGAGGAGAGAAAGGCTGCAGAGGATCCCAAGAAGAAGAAGAAGCAAAGGCAAAATAGCCCGGAGAGAAAGGCTGCAGAGAAGATCGCAAAAGAAGAAGCAAAGGCAATTAGTTGGAGAGAAGGCACTGCAGAGGACCCAAGACGATAGAGAAGAAGCAACAAGGGCAAAGTAGCCCGGAGAGAAAGCTGCAGAGGATCCAAGAAGAAGAAGCAAAGTCGATTGGTAGTAGCGAGGGAGAAAGCTGCAGAGGATCCCAAGAAGAAGAGAAGTAAAGGCAAAGAGTTGGAGAGGAGAAAGGCGGCAGAGGATCCCCAAGAAGAAGAAGAAGCAGCAAAGGCTAAGTAGTCCGGAGAGAAAGGCTGCAGAGGATCACAAGAAGAAGAAGAAGCAAAGGCAAAGTAGCCCGGAGAGAAAGGCTGCAGAGGATCACAAAAAGAAGAAGCAAAGGCAAAGTAGCCCGGAGAGAAAGGCGGCAGAAGATCCCAAGAAGAAGAAGAAGCAAAGGCAAAGTAGCCCAGAGAGAAAAGCTGCAGAGGATCCCAATAAGAAGAAGAAGAAGAAATAAAGGCAAAGTAGTCCGGAGAGAAAGGCTGCAGAGGATCCCAAGAAGAAGAAGAAGAAGCAAAGCCAAAGTAGCCCGGAGAGAAATGCTGCAGAGGATCCCAAGAAGAAGAAGGAAAAGAAGAAGAAGAAGAAGAAGCAAAGGCGAAGTAGCCCGGAGAGAAAGGCTGCAGAGGATCCCAAGAAGAACAAGTAAAGGCAAAGTAGCCCGGAGAGAAAGACTGCAGTAGATCCCAAGAAGAAGAAAAAGCAAAGGCAAAGTAGCCCTGCAGAGGATCCCAAGAAGAAGAAGAAGCAAAGGCAAAGTAGCCCGGAGAGAAAGGCTGCAGAGGATTCCAAGAAGAGAAGAAGCAAAGGCAAAGTAGCCCGGAGAGAAAGGCTGCAGAGGATCCCAAGAAGAAGAAGCAAAAGCAAGATTGCCCGGAGAGAAAGGCTGCAGAGGATCCCAAGAAGAAGAAGAAGCAAAGGCAAAGTAGCCCGGAGAGAAAGGCTGCAGAGGATCCCAAGAAGAAGAAGCAAAGGCAAAGGAGTGGTAGCCCGGAGAGAAAGGCTGCATTGGATCCCAAGAAGAAGCAGCAAAGGCAAAAGAAACCGGAGAGAAAGGCTGCAGAGGACCCCAAGAAGAAGAAGAAGCAAAGACAAAATAGCCCGGAAAGAAAGGCTGCAGAGGATCCCAAGAAGAAGAAGAAGAAGCAAAGGCAAAGTAAACACGGAGAGAAAGGCTGCAGAGGATCCCAAGAAGAAGAAGAAGCAAAGGTAAAAAAGCTCGGAGAGAAAGGCTGCAAAGGATCCCAAGAAGAAGAAGCAAAGGCAAAGTAGGCCGGAGAGAAAGGCTGCAGAGGATCCCAAGAAGAAGAAGAAGAAGAAGCAAAGCCAAAGTAGCCCGGAGAGAAAGGCTGCAGAGGATCCCAAGAAGAAGATGAAGGAAAAGAAGAAGAAGAAGCAAAGGCAAAGTAGCCCGGAGAGAAAGGCTGCAGAGGGTCCCAAGAAGAAGAAGAAGCCAAGGCAAAGTAGCCCGGAGAGAAAGGCTGCAGAGGATCCCAAGAAGAAGAAGAAGAAGCAAAGGCAAAGTAGCCCGGAGAGAAAGGCTATAGAGGGTCCCAAGAAGAAGGAGCAAAGGCAAAGTCGCCCGGAAAGAAAAGCTGCAGAATATCCCAAGAAGAAGAAGAAGCAAAGGCAAAGTAGCCCGAAGAGAAAGGCTGCAGAGGATCCCAAGGAGAAGAAGAAGCAAAGGCAAAGTAGCCCGGAGAGAAAGGCTGCAGAGGATCCCAAGAAGAAGAAGAAGCAAAGGCAAAGTAGCCCGGAGAGAAAGGTTGCAGAGGATCCCAAGAAGAAGAAGAAGAAGCAAAGGCAAACTAGTGGTAGCCCGGAGAGAAAGGCTGCATTGGATCCCAAGAAGAAGCAGCAAAGGCAAAAGAGGCCGGAGAGAAAGGCTGCAGAGGATGAAGCAAAGGCAAAATAGCCCGGAGAGAAAGGCTGCAGAAGATCCCAAGAAGAAGAAGAAGCAAAGCCAAAGTAACCCGGAGAGAAAGGCTGCAGAGGATCCCAAGAAGAAGAAGAAGAAGCAAAGGCAAAAGAGCCCGGAGAGAAAGGCTGCAGAGGATCCCAAGAAGAAGAAGAAGCAGCAAAGGCAAAGTAGCCCGGAGAGAAAGGCTGCAGAGGCTTCCAAGAAGAAGAAGCAAAGGCAAAGTAGCCCGGAGAGAAAGGCTGCAGAGGATCCCAAGAAGAAGAAAAAGCAGCAAAGAAAACGTAGCCCGGAGAGAAAGGCTGCAGAGGATCCCAAAAAGAAGAAGAAGCAAAGGTAAAAAAGCCCGGAGAGAAAGGCTGCAGAATATCCCAAGAAGAAGAAGAAGCAAAGGCAAAGTAGCCCGAAGAGAAAGGCTGCAGAGGATCCCAAGGAGAAGAAGAAGCAAAGGCAAAAAAGCCCGGAGAGAAAGGCTGCAGAGGATACCAAGAAGAAGAAGCAAAGGCAAAGTAGCCCGGAGAGAAAGGTTGCAGAGGATCCCAAAAAGAAGAAGAAGCAAAGGCAAAGTAGCCCGGAGAGGAAAGGCTGCAGAAGATCGCAAGAAGAAGAAAAAGAAGCAAAGGCAAAGTAGCCCGGAGAGAAAGGCTGCAGAGGATCCCAAGAAGAAGAAGCAAAGGCAAAATAGCCCGGAGAGAAAGGTTGCAGAAGATCCCAAGAAAAAGAAGAAGAAGAAGCAAAGGCAAACTAGCCGAAGAGAAAGGCTGCAGAGGATCCCAAGAAGAAGAAGAAGCAAAGGCAAACTAGCCCGGAGAGAAAGGCTGCAGAGGATCCCAAGAAGAAGAAGAAGCAAAGGCAAAATAGCCCGGAGAGAAAGGCTGCAGAGGATACCAAGAAGAAGAAGCCAAGGCAAAGTAGCCCGGAGAGAAAGGCTGCAGAGGATCCCAAGAAGAAGAAGAAGCAAAGATACAATAGCCCGGAGAGAAAGGCTGCAGAGGATCCCAAGAAGAAGAAGAAGCAAAGGCAAAGTGGCCCAGAGAGAAAGGCTGCAGAGGATCCCAAGAAGAAGAAGCAAAGGCAAAGTGGCCCAGAGAGAAAGGCTGCAGAGGATCCCAAGAAGAAGAAGAAGCAAAGACAAAGTAGCCCGGAGAGAAAGGCTGCAGAGGATCCCAAGAAGAAGAAGAAACAAAGGTAAAAAAGCCCGGAAAGAAAGGCTGCAGAGGGTCCCAAGAAGAAGAAGAAGCAAAGGCAAAGTGGCCCGGAGAGAAAGGCTGCAGAGGATCCCAAGAAGAAGAAGCAAAGACAAAGTAGCCCGGAGAGAAAGGCTGCAGAGGATCCCAAGAAGAAGAAGCAAAGGCAAAACAGCTCGGAGAGAAAGGTTGCAGAGGATCCCAAGAAGAAGATGCAAGGGCAAAATAGTCCGGAGAGAAAGGCTGCAGAGGATCCCAAGAAGAAGAAGAAGCAAAGACAAAGTAGCCCGGAGAGAAAGGCTGCAGAGGATCCCAAGAAGAAGAAGTAAAGGCAAAGTAGCCCGGAGAGAAAGGCTGCAGAGGATCCCAAGAAGAAGAAGAAGCAAAGGCAAAGTAGCCCGGAGAGAAAGGCTGCAGAGGATTCCAAGAAGAACAAGTAAAGGCAAAGTAGCCCGGAGAGAAAGACTGCAGAAGATCCCAAGAAGAAGAAGAAGCAAAGGCAAAGTAGCCAGGAGAGAAAGACTGCAGAGGATCCCAAGAAGAAGAAGGAAGCAAAGGCGAAAAAGTCCCGAGAGAAACGTTGCAGAGGATCCCAAGAAGAAGAAGCAAAGGCAAAGTAGCCCGGAGAGAAAGGTTGCAGAGGATCCCAAGAAGAAGAAGAAGCAAAGGCAAAGTAGCCAGGAGAGAAAGACTGCAGAGGATCCCAAGAAGAAGAAGGATGCAAAGGCGAAAAAGTCCGGAGAGAAAGGCTATAGAGGATCCCAAGAAGATCAAGAAGCAAAGGCAAAGTAGTCCGGAGAGAAAGGCTGCAGAGGATCCCAAGAAGAAGAAGCAAAGGCAAAGTAGTCCGGAGAGAAAGGTTGCAGAGGATCCCAAGAAGAAGAAGAAGCAAAGGTAAAGTAGCCCGGAGAGAAAAAGTGCAGAGGATCCCAAGAAGAAGAAGAAGCAAAGGCAACGTAGCCCGGAGAGAAAGGCTGCAGAGGATCCCAAGAAGAAGAAGCCAAGGCAAAGTAGCCCGGAGAGAAAGGCTGCAGAGGATTTCAAGAAGAAGAAGCAAAGGCAAAGTAGCCCGGAGAGAAAGGCTGCAGAGGATCCCAAGAAGAAGAAGAAGCAAAGGCAAAAAAGCCCGGAGAGAAAGGCTAGAGGATCCCAAGAAGAAGAAGAAGCAAAGGCAAAGTAGCCCGGAGAGAAAGGCTGCAGAGGATCCCAAGAAGAAGAAGAAGCAAAGGCAAAGTAGCCCGGAGAGAAAGGCTGCAGAGGATCCCAAGAAGAGAAGAAGAAGAAGCAAAGGCAAAGTAGCCCGGAGAGAAAGGCTGCAGAGGATCCCAAGAAGAAGAAAAAGCAGCAAAGAAAACGTAGCCCGGAGAGAAAGGCTGCAGAGGATCCCAAAAAGAAGAAGAAGCAAAGGTAAAAAAGCCCGGAGAGAAAGGCTATAAAGGACCCCAAGAAGAAGAAGCAAAGGCAAAAAAGTCAGGAGAGAAAGGCTGCAGAGGATCCCAAGAAGAAGAAGAAGCAAAGGTAAAGAAGTCCGGAGAGAAAGGTTGCAGAGGATCCCAAGAAGAAGAAACAAAGGCAAAGTAGCCCGGAGAGAACGGCTGCAGAGGATCCCAAGAAGAAGAAGAAGAAAAGGCAAAGTAGCCCGGAGAGAAAGGCTGCAGAGGATCCCAAGAAGAACAAGCAAAGGCAAAGTAGCCCGGAGAGAAAGGCTGCAGAGGATCCCAAGAAGAATAAGAAGCAAAGGCAAAGTAGTCCGGAGAGAAAAGCTGCAGAGGATCCCAAGAAGAAGAAGAAGTAAAGGCAAAGTAGCCCGGAGAGAAAGACTGCAGAGGATCCCAAGAAGAAGAAGAAGCAAAGGCAAAAAATTGGTAGCCCGGAGAGAAAGGCTGCAGAGGATCCAAGAAGAATAAGAAGCAAAGGCAAAGGAGTCCGGAGAGATTAGCTACAGAGGATCCCAAGAAGAAGAAGCAAAGGCAAAGTAGCCCGGAAAGAAAGGAGAGAAAGGCTGCAGAGGATCCCAAGAAGAAGAAGTAAAGGCAAAGTAGCCCGGAGAGAAAGGCTGCAGAGGATCCCAAGAAGAAGAAGAAGAAGAAGAAGCAAAGGCAAAGTAGCCCGGAGAGAAAGGCTGCAGAGGATCTCAAAAAGAAAAAGCAAAGGCAAAGTAGCCCGGAGAGAAAGGCTGCAGAGGATCCCAGTAAGAAGAAGAAGAAATAAAGGAAAAGTAGCCCGGAGAGAAAGGCTGCAGAGGATCCCAAGAAGAAGAAGCCAAGGCAAAGTAGCCCGGAGAGAAAGGCTGCAGAGGATCCTAAAAAGAAGAAGAGGAAGCAAAGGCAAACTAGTCCGGCGAGAAAGGCTGCAGAGGATCCCAAGAAGAAGAAGAAGAAGAAAAGGCAAAGCAGCCCGAGAGAAAGGCTGCAGAGGATCCCAAGAAGAAAAAGCAAAGGCAAAGTAGCCCTACAGAGGATCCCAAGAAGAAGAAGAAGCAAAGGCAAAACAGCCCGGAGAGTAAGGCTATAGAGGATCCCAAGAAGTAGAAGAAGAAGAAGCAAAGGCAATCTAGCCCGGAGAGAAAGGCTGCAGAGGATCCCAAGAAGAGAAGAAGCAAAGGCAAAGTAGCCCGGAGAGAAAGGCTGCAGAGGATCCCAAGAAGAAGAAGCAAAGGCAAGATTGCCCGGAGAGAAAGGCTGCAGAGGATCCCAAGAAGAAGAAGAAGCAAAGGCAAAGTAGCCCGGAGAGAAAGGCTGCAGAGGATCCCAAGAAGAAGAAGAAGCAAAGGCAAAGTAGTGGTAGCCCGGAGAGAAAGGCTGCATTGGATCCCAAGAAGAAGCAGCAAAGGCATAAGAAACCGGAGAGAAAGGCTGCAGAGGACCCCAAGAAGAAGAAGCAACGACAAAATAGCCCGGAGAGAAAGGCTGCAGAGGATCCCAAGAAGAAGAAGAAGCAAAGGCAAAGTAACACGGAGAGAAAGGCTGCAGAGGATCCCAAGAAGAAGAAGAAGCAAAGGTAAAAAAGCTCGGAGAGAAAGGCTGCAAAGGATCCCAAGAAGAAGAAGCAAAGGCAAAGTAGGCCGGAGAGAAAGGCTGCAGAGGATCCCAAGAAGAAGAAGAAGAAGCAAAGCCAAAGTAGCCCGGAGAGAAAGGCTGCAGAGGATCCCAAGAAGAAGATGAAGGAAAAGAAGAAGAAGAAGCAAAGGCAAAGTAGCCCGGAGAGAAAGGCTGCAGAGGGTCCCAAGAAGAAGAAGAAGCCAAGGCAAAGTAGCCCGGAGAGAAAGGCTGCAGAGGATCCCAAGAAGAAGAAGAAGCAAAGGCAAAGTAGCCCGGAGAGAAAGGCTATAGAGGGGTCCCGAGAAGAAGAAGGAGCAAAGGCAAAGTAGCCCGGAGAGAAAGGCTGCAGAGAATCCCAAGAAGAAGAAGAAGCAAAGGCAAAGTAGCCCGGAGAGAAAGGCTGCAGAGGATCCCAAGGAGAAGAAGAAGCAAAGGCAAAGTAGCCCGGAGAGAAAGGCTGCAGAGGATCCCAAGAAGAAGAAGAAGCAAAGGCAAAGTAGCCCGGAGAGAAAGGTTGCAGAGGATCCCAAGAAGAAGAAGAAGCAAAGGCAAAGTAGCCCGGAGAGAAAGGCTGCAGAGGATCCCAAGAAGAAGAAGAAGCAAAGGCAAAAGAGCCCGGAGAGAAAGGCTGCAGAGGATCCCAAGAAGAAGAAGAAGTAAAGGCAAAGTAGCCCGGAGAGAAAGGCTGCAGAGGATCCCAAGAAGAAGAAGAAGCAAAGGCAAAGTAGCCCGGAGAGAAAGGCTGCAGAGGATCCCAAGAAGAAGAAGCAAAGGCAAAACAGCCCGGAGAGAAAGGCTGCAGAGGATCCCAAGAAGAAGAAGCAAAGGCAAAGTAGCCCGGAGAGAAAGGCTGCAGAGGATCCCAAGAAGAAGAAGTAAAGGCAAAATAGCCCGGAGAGAAGAAGAGGATCCCAAGAAGAAGAAGAAGCAAAGGCAAAGCCCGGAGAGAAAGGCTGCAGAGGATCCCAAGAAGAAGAAGAAGCAAAGGCAAAGTAGCCCGGAGAGAAAGGCTGCAGAGGATCCCAAGAAGAAGAAGCAAAGGCAAAGTAGCCCGGAGAGAAAGGCTGCAGAGGATCCCAAGAAGAAGAAGAAGAAGCAAAGGCAAAAAAGCCCGGGAGAGAAAGGCTACAGAGGATCCCAAGAAGAAGAAGCAAAGGCAAAGTAGCCCGGAGAGAAAGGCTGCAGAGGATCCCAAGAAGAAGAAGCAAAGGCAAAATAGCGCAGAGGATCCCAAGAAGAAGAAGAAGCAAAGGCAAAGTGCCCGGAGAGAAAGGCTGCAGAGGATCCCAAGAAGAAGAAGCAAATCCTGCAAGGATCCCAAGAAGAAGCAAAGGCAAAGTAGCCCGGAGAGAAAGGCTGCAGAGGATCCCAAGAAGAAGAAGAAGAAGCAAAGGCAAAGTAGCCGGAGAGAAAGGTGCAGAGGATCCCAAAGAAAAGAAATAAAGGCAAAATAGCCCGGAGAGAAAGGCTGCAGAGGATCCCAAGAAGAAGAAGAAGCAAAGGCAAAGCCCGGAGAGAAAGGCTAGAGGATCCCAAGAAGAGAGAAAGGCAATAAAGAAGAAGTAGCCCAGAAGAAGAAGAGCAAAGGCAAAGTGCGAGGAGAGAAAGGCTATAGAGGGTCCAAGAAGAAGAAGGAGTAAAGGCAAAGTATTGGTAGCCCGGAGAGAAAGGCTGCATTGGATCCCAAGAAGAAGAAGCAAAGGCAAAGTAGGCCGGAGGGAAAGGCTACAGAGGATCCCAAGAAGAAGAAGCAAAGGCAAAGTAGCCCGCAGAGAAAGGCTGCAGAGGATCCCAAGAAGAAGAAGAAGAAAACGAAGAAGAAGAAGAAGCAAAGGCAAAGTAGCCCGGAGGGAAAGGCTGCAGAGGATCCCAAGAAGAAGAAGCCAAGGCAAAGTAGCCCGGAGAGAAAGGCTACAGAGGATTTCGCGCTACTTGCGTTTGGGGTGCGTGGGAATGTCTCTGCTGCGTTTGGGGTGCGTGGGAATTTCTGGGATGTTTCGCCTAGCCTTGCTTACTGGATGTTGGCTTCTGGGATTGCAACAGGAATGATAGCAATGACCGTACTAATTATGATAATAATGATAGTTCTCTGCGGCCCTCGGCTGCAGAAGCGTCTCGATCTGGAGCCAGGGCACCTGAGCTGATGTGACGGGTTGTGACGTTCGATTGCTGTGCGTTACAGCGAGCTGCCGCTGTGCAGGTCTCCGGAAGGATGTTTTAACAGCAGGCTTGCGAGGTAGACTACGCGCAGTGAGCAG